CCCCCCTCCGCAGGACGCGGTGACGGGCCTGCTCCCCGCCAGCGCCGACCACCGGGATGCCTGGGTCCGGGACAACGTCTACAGCATCCTGGCCGTCTGGGGGCTGGGCCTGGCCTACCGCAAGAACGCCGACCGCGACGAGGACAAGGCCAAGGCCTACGAGTTGGAGCAGGTAGGAGGGAGCCGGCGGGAGGCAGGGCCCGTGCCGGCCGTCCCAGCGTGGCCAGTGGTACCGGGGAGGTGTCTGTCACCTCTCGGCTGGTTTGCTTTTGGCACGGCACGGCTCTTGGGCCGAAAGGCCACAAAAGGCTGTGTGGTGAAGACAGGAACAAGGCTGTCCCTAAGCGCGGGGGGGCAATAGGAAGGGATGTCAGAGCCTGCTTTTCCCAGCGTGTGCTGGAGCCCAGCTGGAGGGTCCAGCCCTCTGGCTCTGTGGTGACCTGGGGATGCAGCACTTCTCCCAAGGGCTGGGGAGCTGCGTCCTGCAGCTGTGCCCTCCATCCCTCTGCACAGCACAGCAGCTCGGCCTTGCTGGCAAGCCAAGAAATCTTGCTTCCCACAGTGGTCCCACTGGAGCAGGGACCATGGAAATGTGAGCAGAAGCTCTGGTTACAGCCCTGCAAAGGTCAGCAGCCAGCTGATCCTGAGTCAGGGCTTTTCCTAGCTGCATGGGGATTAACGAGGCTGTTTTGCTTGTTCCTGCAGAGTGTGGTGAAGCTGATGCGGGGGCTGCTCCAGTGCATGATGAGACAGGTAGGGGCTGGGGAGTGCCTCTGAGAGTTGAGTGGTCTCCTCAAAGCCCAGCTCTGCCACAAAGACTGTTGGTCCCAGCTGTGCCAGCTCTCCCCAGCCTCCCCTGATGAGCAAAGGGAAGGCCCCCTTCCAGGAAGTCTTGAAATAAGCTCTGACTTGGCATCTGTCCCTGGTATGATGGAAGCCCCAGTGCTGTGGGCTGGTGGCTAGTGGAGCCTTTGCCAGCTGCTCCCTGTCTTGTGGCCTGGCTGGTGCTGGGACTCTGTAGCTCTTCTCCCTGAGGGCATTTGGGATGACCCTTTTCTCTCCATGTGGTGCAACTGTGACTGTGGGCCCTCCTCGGCTGCAACCCTCTGCTAGGGTGGCATGTGAGGCTGCACTCAATGCCTTGGTGCATGGAGGGGCTCAACCTGGGGGCTGTAGGATTTCTGCCCTGCCAGGCACAGCTCCACATGCTGGGCTGATGGCATGGAGCAGCCCTTGGCTCTGGGGCTGCCAGACTTCTCTGGAGACAGGGTTTGATGAATCTCCACATCTCTTTGCCCTTCTCAAGGTGGACAAGGTGGAGGCATTCAAGTACAGCCGGAGCACCAGAGACTGCCTGCATGCCAAGTACAACACCCACACCTGTGCCACCGTGGTGGGGGACCAGGAGTGGGGTCACCTACAGATGGATGCCACCTCCCTCTACCTGCTCATGCTGGCGCAAATGACGGCCTCAGGTGATGCTGTTGGGGGATGCCATTTCAGCTTTGTGCATGCTGATCTCCAGGGCTTTCCACGTTCTTAGTTTGGGTGTAGCTTCCTGGGTGCCAAGCTGCTGCAACGGCCTCCCCGACCTCACTGTTTTCTTACGCTTACAGCACCCAAGGTGGATTTGGGTTCTTCAATGTTCATCTCTCTAAGAGCCCTCATTTGCCTGAAGCCCCAGAGCTGCTGCAGGGGGGTGGGAGTGGCGATGGGAGCCAGCCAGGATGTGGCTTCCGTGGGGCAGGTGTGCAGTGAGGAGGGAGGGGTCTGGCCTGGGTTACTGCAGCCCCTTCCTAGGGATGCCTGTGGGCTTGGAGCGACTAATGTCAATTCCTCCCCCTGCTTCAGGCCTCCACATAATTCACAGCCTGGATGAAGTCAACTTTATCCAGAATCTCGTGTTCTACATCGAAACGGCCTACAAAACCGCGGTGGGTAGCCCGTGCTGGGGAAGGGGAGCGTGCCCCGGGGGTGCAGGTGGTGGGCTGGTGTCTAGGGGCAGCTGTGGGTTCCTCCTGAGCCCTGGCGGGCAGAGTCCCACAGTGCCTGCTGGGAGCACCACTGATGGGTGGGATTTGAAGGCTTTCTGGGTGTGCTGTGAACTGTTGCCTGCTCCAACGTGCCACTGCCTCTGCACAGGACTTTGGGATATGGGAGCGCGGGGACAAGACGAACCAGGGCATCACTGAGTTGAATGCTAGCTCTGTCGGCATGGCCAAGGTGAGCTGGGGAGAGGTGCTGGGTGGATGCTGGGGAGCACCGGTGGCCCCATGCTGCTTTTTTACAGGGAAGGCTGGGCATGTTGAACTAGTGAGGCTCAATGCCCCATGCAGGGGGCTGGGGAGGAAGACCTTTCTCCTTGTGTGCTGGGATAAAACTGCACCCCTCTTGCCTGAGTTTCGTCTGAACTGGGAGTGAGAAATTAATTGGGGTGTGTGGCAGTCCAGGGCCCTGATGATGTCTGGCTACCTGTGGCTTTGGAAATGTGGTCACGTTCTGACCAGGGGCGCTCTGCAGCCACAGCAGTGTTTAAATTCATTTAAATTTGGGCAGCGCGTTACACAGAGGGGCTGGTACAGGGTGAGAGCTCTTACAGATGAGCAGCGTGGTGGAGGACTTGCTGCTTTGTGTCTTGCCCTGCTTGTAGGCTGCTCTGGAGGCGCTGGATGAGCTGGATCTCTTTGGAGCAAAGGGAGGCCCGCAGTCGGTGATACGGGTGCTGTCGGATGAAGTGCAGCACTGCCAGGTGAGACCTGCACGGGCTTTACACCATTGCAGGATGAACTGTGATCTGCTGGGGTTGCAGTGTGAACAATTCCCGGCCTGGCAACCTAACCACCCCTCCTTCCCCTTCGCCCAGTCCATCCTCCACTCGATGCTGCCCAGGGCATCCACGTCCAAGGAGGTGGACGCCAGTGTGCTCTCTGTCATCTCCTACCCAGCATTCGCTGTGGAGGACAGCAAGCTGGTGGAAATCACCAAGCAAGAGATCATCACAAAGCTGCAGGTGAGCGGCTCTGCCCTTGTCTTGCCCTTCCTGGGAGATAGCTGCAGTCGAAACTGTTGTAGCCCTTTTCTCCCCAAAAACGTGCTCGGGGAGGGGGTGCTGGGGCATGTCCTCTCCCAGTCTCCATGAGCTGTGGCAAGGGTGTGCAAAGAAACAGTCTTTGTGTGCTGTGGCCTTAGGCTGTGATCATGGTGCCTGAGAACTAGGTGAGTGAGTGAGGGGGTATTTGGCTGGAGGAGACCCCCCCATGCTTCTGCATTGAAGGTACAAGGTATCTCATGCTGTGCCTCCTGCTCAGCACCTCTTTCCATCCCTTCCAGGGGCGCTACGGCTGCTGCCGCTTCCTCCGGGATGGATACAGGACCCCCAAAGAGGTAAGTGTCCCCAGCCCTGCCACCTGCCAGAATTTGAGTGCCAAGCAGCAGCTGCCCTGGGTTGCGTTTGCAGCCCCCCAGTGTGCAGCACAAAGGCTGTGGTGGGGAGCACTGGGAAGATGAGAGCCCTTAGTAGCCCCAGGCAGTGTGATGAGTCTGAGCAAGGCTTCCCAAAATGCAAGAGCCCATTGCAAAGATGGTATGTCCCACCCACACCCCTAGCAGATGGGCAGAGGCTGGCTCTGCCCGCATCTTGGGACCTGGTGGTGTTGTGTATCTCTTAGGCTGGGGGAAGATGGGACCACTGCCCTGTGTGGGAGCCCTGTCAAGGTAGGCTCTTTCCCCGGCTCTCCCAGGCCTGCACAAGCCCTGAGCGAGGGCTGGAGGCCTGTGAAGGTGACTGTGCAGTGCTCCTTCCTGACGGCCTCAGCTCTGCGGCAGCACTGGAGGTCACAAAGCTACTTCTGCCTCTCCCAGGACAGCAGGCAGCGTGTGTACTGCCACACTTGGCTCTCAGCGGAGCGAGTGGAGACTTTCTTCTGCTGCTTTGGGGAGGGAAAACAAAAATTTTATAAGCAACAATTGCACTTGATAACCACAGAACCAGGAAATGGTACTTGGAGGCTCTTAAATCATCACTGGCTGTTGGGCCCCTAACCTGGTGGGGCTCCTTTGGGCATGAGTGCCTCTAAATGCTTCTCCTCTGCTGCTCCTCTTCAGACCTGACCATAATAGGCAGTGTGTGTGGCTGTATCTCTCTAGAGCCGGAGAAGAGCAGCAGCATCTCTAGTCCAACTTTCCCAGCGCTCATGAGCTTTGCCAGTGTGCAAAGCTGTGGATTACTTCTGGGGAGCTGCAAGGCACGGGAAGGGCAGCATTCCCTGCAGAGGCACTGCAGCTGGCTGGAGTCAAATGGGAGTTTGGGAGCTTGTGGCCGGTGTGCAGGCACTATAGAAAACATCTGCTCCCTCTGTCCCTGCTGTCCTCTCTGCCTGATAGTCTACTAAGGCCAGCTCTATACCTTCTCTGTAGCAAACAGAGTTAAAGCAGTTAGAAGGGAGGGTTGAGCATAGGTCCCTTGGGGCACTACACCGCACACATATGGGATGGGAGGATTTGGTGAAGGCAACTCTCCGTCCTGACCACTTCCCTTGTGTCAGACTCACAGTCGCACCAAATGGCAGGAGGGACCCTGCTCTCTGGCCCTGCGTGACCATCCCAAGCCCTCACACCCAGCTGGGCCAGCCTGGTGATGCTGGAGGGGGCAGGCGCTGAGGGGCTGGGGCAGAGAGCAGGCAAGGCGAAGGGGACGCAGGTGTCCCCAGTGCAGTGAGGGGGATGTTGTGCTGTTGTACAACACTGGGTAGGCTCCCTTTGCCCAGGAAGGGTGAGTCCCTTTGGCATCAGTGCAGAGGGCTTGGGAGGGGATGTCTGATGGAAAGGACATAGCCTGGAGGTGAAACTGCTTTTCGGCTCCGTCTCAGCCATCATCCACAGAGGAGGACTGGGAGGGCATTTGAGGCTGGGGTCTCGGGAGGAGTAGAAGCCCTGTCAGTTTGAGGGGATCCTGCCACCCACCACCTGCCCTGCTGTCACGCCCTCCCTGCAGGACCCCAACCGCCTCTACTACGAACCTGCTGAGCTGAAGCTGTTTGAGAACATTGAGTGTGAGTGGCCTCTCTTCTGGGCGTACTTGATCATTGATGGGATTTTCAGCGGAAACATGGAGCAGGTAAGGGAGACAGGACCTGCCGGGCCGGTGGAAAGAAGCCCCTGGCAAGGGAGGTGTGTGGGGGAAGGATGCAGGGAGCCATGACTGGGGGCAGATCCCCTCTCCTCTCTCCTCAGGTGCAGGAGTACCGGGAAGCCCTTGAGGGGGTTCTCATCAAGGGGAAGAACGGGGTGCGCCTGGTGCCAGAGCTGTACAGCGTCCCGCTGGATAAGGTGAGTGGTCCTGAGCTATGGTGGGA